AAGGACATTGCATTCCCCGGGCCTGAGGGTGTGCGAAGTCCCTGCGTGGTCGAGATGCAGGGGCACGCGGCCACCGTTCGCACCCCGGGGTCTGGAGGGGTGTGGAGCAGCCCAAACCCCCCCTCCCGGCGATCAGGGCATGGAGCTGAATCTGCGTTTCAGAATCAGGGTTGTTAATTGCTCCTCTCTGATTCCAGCAGCACATGCCGTAGCCTCCCGTTTCTCGTTTAGCACTAATTAAGCCTGCGTTTTACACTGGAAGATATCATCTGGCAGGCAGCTAGTGACTGTGTAATTGAGCCCCGCGTTACTTAGTGGTAGCAACAATTAACATGGGTTTAGTGTCAGGAGAAGAACTGACATAAACAAAGCTGTCCCAGAGCGTTTGCCTTTTCCCTGCCATTCCGTACGCTTGCGTGTGCAGAGTGGCTCAAACCCTGCGCTGTGCCGGCAGCCGGGCCTTGAAGGAGAGAACTGGGGGTCGTTTTGTCCGAAAGCATCCCCGGGCTGAGGGCGTGCTCCCGCCTGGGGAACAGCAACCAGCAGATGCACATATATATCTATATCTATCTATATATCTATCTATATATATCTCTCTCTATATATAGAAATATCTATATATATCTATATGCACGCGTGCCTTTATCTATATAGAAAAACATTGTTCCAGTTAGTAGTACAGTGACTAAAATTCACGTGCCATGAACACCGATTACAGTTGTCACAATCGATTTCTCTTTTCTATTTAGAAATTGCTCATGTTTGCTACTGAAATCCTATTTGCAGTAGGAAACTCCATTCCCCTGTAAAAATATTTTCTCAGGCTGCCCATGGTTTCCCCTGCCTTGTCTTACCTTGTAGCACGATTTTGCTTTTAGCTTTTGTGCCTTATCTGGCCCCTGTCCTGGTTGCTTTCCAGCATTTGGAGCTGGGTTATTTTAGGGAGATTTTCTTGCAGGTGACCTCAGGGGCAGTTCCCACACGTCTTTGCCCTTCGTTGCCACAACACTTTGTGTATACGTAGGGCATCCTGTAGCCTTGGCATAAAGGTATCCACAAAGCTTGAGGTGTTTTTCTTTGTATCTTCTCGTGCAAGGATCACTCAGGTGTCAGCTGAATTACTAAGAAAATGTGTTTTAAGAACTTTGGACCGCGAGCTGGAGAGATGGACTGGGAGAGAGGCAGCAGCAAACCGTTTATCCCGGCCTTAAGGGGAGGCAAAAATCATCTTACAAATCAGATTTCTGGCAGGTCTTATAACAAGAATACGATTTAACTTTCTGAGCAAAATTGCAGTATAAGGTCAAACTATATTGAGTTAATTTGTTTCCTGATAAAGATGGTTTCTTACTTAAATTAAGGCTGTCTTTTGCCTTGTCATTGTTCCTGTTTGGATTTATTTCAAAGACGAATGTTGGAGTGAGTCCAGAGGAGGTCACGAAGGTGCCTGGGGGGCAGGAGCAGCTCCCCTGCTCAGCCTGGAGGGGAGAAGGTCCCAGAGGGGAGACCTTTGAGCGGCCTCCCGGTACTCACCGGATGGGGAGAGACTTTTTAGCGGGGCCTGTTGTGATGGGAGAAAGAGTAACGGCTTTAAACCAGGAGAGGGGAGGTTTAGCTGAGATGTGAGGAAGAAACGCTTCTCTGTGAGGGTGCTGGGACCCTGGGGATGCCCCAGCCCTGGCAGCGCCCAAGGCCGGGTTGGACGGGGCTGGGAGCAGCCTGGGCTGGGGTGAGGTTTGCAACGAGATGGTCTTCAAGGACCCTTCCAACCCAAACCATCCTGTGATTCCATGAACAAGAGGAAATAAATGTAATTAAGGAATCCGTTGAGTTTTTTTTCCAGAAGATGGTTCAATTGCACAACTGCAACAAAAACCCATCGTACATGTTCCGAGTCTAGCGCAAGCGGAGCTCTTTGCCTGGAACGAAAATAAGCCTGTAGCTCCCGAGCTAATCATGTCCGTTCTCTTCTTCAGGGTCGATGTTCAAGGGACAACTGCAAATATCTTCACCCACCGCCACACTTAAAAACGCAGCTGGAGATCAATGGGCGCAATAACCTGATTCAGCAGAAGAACATGGCCATGCTGGCCCAGCAGATGCAGCTTGCCAATGCCATGATGCCTGGGGCCCCGCTGCAGCCTGTGGTATGTTCGCTTTTTGACTTCGTCAGCGAGTAGAGTGAGTTGTGCTTTGTGCCTGTAAAACCCCACAAACGGGGAGAGAAATCGGATACAAGGAAATGCTCGTCCCTATGTCTTTGTCCTGTGTGATTCTCCCTTGGCTGAAGTAATACTGCTGCTTTAATTAATTTTGTTAATCTTCTGTTCATTTAATTCTTTATTTTTTTACAACTTATTTCTTGAAATTAGGAACGTGAGTGACCGTGGGGGAATTTCGTAAATAGACGTTTCCGCTGTGATTTCACGTGCTCTAGGCAATCCCTGGGTTTGAGAACATTCCCAGTGGATGGGGACCTTCTCAGGGAATTACTTGCTGGAACTGGGCTTTGGTTTTCACGTGAAAGCGTAAAGCTTGCCCTGAGTGACGTGTGATACGTGCTGGTCTGACCTGTGCCATCCGCACGTCAGGCTCGGCAGAGAGGAGGAGAAAAAGAGAGAATCATACTTTCTGCAAAAAGCCAGGGGACGGGGGAAGGAGAATCTGTCAGAGAGCTCCTGTCTGGTCCCAGATCTGGTTTTCCCTCGTGCCTGGGTGGGCGCGAGCAGTGCAGCGTCTGCCGGAGCCGAAGCCGCGGCTGAGGGACGTGCTCTGCAGCGATCCCGCGGGTCAGCAGGTGTGGGGGTGACGGGCACCGGCCCCCACGCGTGTGGGAGCTGAACACCCTGTGCCACATCCCTCTCTAATGCAATCCAGGGAGGTCACTGGAGCTAACCGATGGAGAAATTTGGCCCGGAGCCCTTCTGAGATAAATTTCTAGCTCAGCCATTAGAGGGTACTGATTAATGTATGAGCGAGACTGGCACTGAGTAACCTGTGAGCAAGGCTGGGATGTTCTGCACAGAAAGACACACAGTGCTGCCCTGGCTGAAGCTCTCTTCAGTGGGAAAAATGGTAAAAAAATAAATTGAAAGAATAAAATAAAGAATAAAAAAAAGAAAGAATAAAATAAAGGTATCTGCACTTCTTTGGCAGTTCTTTCATTCCTTTCTTGCTGGAAAAGGTAGAATTCAGGGAGTTTAATTTACCTCTGGATACCTTCTGTTAGGAAACCTATATTCACTCAGCTAGGTGAGTTCTTGAGATTTATTTCAGAAAGCCTAGTGACAATTTGTCCTCTTCAAAATATGGCTACTTCCTTAGGAAGAATCGTCTCAGCCGGAAGGCTCTCCTACTTGTGCCAAATGGTTATCTGGCCCCACATTTTCTGGGTCTGCAGAATTCCAGTAAATCCTTTGTAGCTCATTTGGTTCTGCTAGCAGAACTGTTATTCTCCCACCGAGCTTTATGCCTCGGCTGATTCGAGAAAAAGTGGGGCGGGAAGAGAAGCAGAAATCGCCGTGGTGGGATCGTCGCAGCAAATTGACTTTAGTACCTCTTAGCATAGCGGGAGAAGATAACCACGCTTTGTTTCTTCTCTTCCGACTGGCTTCTCTTTAAATAACCTTGTCCGTGCCACCCCGGCAGGGCGATGAGCTGGGGCAGGGTGGGACACGGGGCGCGGGGGCAGCCGAGGCTGCCTGTGGGCTCGTGCCCGCTGCTCGTGGCTTTCTGGCCAGAGACAAAAACTGAGGGTCCGTGCAGGCAGACAGCTCAGCAGCAGGCTGGACTATACGTGCTTTAACTCCAGAGCAACCTGGACGTGATTTTTCAGTTTCAACAGCTCAAAACAGATGTGTGCGCAGGCCATGATTTCATTTTTCCCCCGATTTGAGTAACAGTGATGCAGTGTTAGTGCCAGCAAATTCATATTTGGGACCATGAGAAAGCTTGAGTCAAAATGCAGCTGAATGTAAGACCCGTTGCTTAAAATTTTCTTCTCTGTTAACTTGTTTGTTTGTTTGTTTCATGAATTGTCATGTTTGCTTCATGAATTGTAACCAAATGCGGCTCTCTCGGGTCTATACAAAGCAGTGCGTAGGCACACACCAGCATTTGGGTAACACAGAAATAAATACTAGTGCAGTCCTTTGGATTAATGGGTGTTTTTCATATAGAGAGAGGCTGGTGTGAGGATAACATTTAAATGGAATTTAAATTCTTTATGCTACGCTAAGACTCTTCCTAATGAGCAAAATTTATCTGTGTATTTGCAAGCGCTGCCCATGCCTGGGTGGTTTCCACGTGTGTCTCTTGACTCCAGACTAGGTATTTTCAGAATCTAGTCTCGTTCAGTCTGAGGATTCCAAATTGACTGTCCAGCAATAGTGTTTCCAAGTGGATGTCATCCTACTAATTTGGCCTTAAAACTACTTTGTTTTTTAGCACGGTTGAAAGGGTTGTTATTTCAGGGTGTTTAGCAAGTGATTTATATCATCCCATCCAACCATGCTTCAGTCAGTTTGGTTTGTTTTACAAAAATCAATACCCTGTGCTTCAATAAAAGTAAGTGAACTAACTAATAGAGACTAATTTGGTGAGCAAAGCAGTAGGATCCTTTCGCTCATATTTCTCCTTGATAAATGTTTTAATTATCTTAGTTGCAAGTAATGTCTGCGGACTTTTCCCATCTTTCCTTTTCAGTTCACTCTTTTATCTGCCTTTAGCTGCCGCTCGAGGGAGGGGATTTCGGGTGCTGAGCGGGAATTGCGTGTCCTGCCAGCTGCGAGCGCTGAGGTCCTGAGCGAGAGCTCTGCCTGCTCGGATCTCTTCTGCCCTCCTTGCTTGGAAACTGGTTTAGGGGCAGCTGGGCTCAGCTGGACTCTGGCTTTGGTACCGGTGCAGCATCAGGAGTACCAGCCCGTGCTGGGGGGTAGTAGCACATCCTCAGGGGGTGCTAGCCGGAGTACTAGCCCATCGTCGGTGGGTGCTGCTGCGCTGTTCCACGGCAGCAATGTCAGACCCTGGATTTGCCTTTTCCAGTGTGGAAGAGTGTGAGAAATGCTAGACGGAAGCAGGAAGACGTGGGTGAGAGGCCAGGAGAGTGGGGACAGACACAGCAGTGGCTGGAGGCTCCGGGGACCCGCAGGGTGAGGAGCCTCGTGCTTCCCTTGGCGTGGCAGCTCCTCGGGACCTGACTGTGTTAAAGGAGTCCAGCTCCTTCCCTGCAGGGCTGGGGAGCTGGAGCGCTGGCAGAAAGCCTGTCTGTCTGTCTGTCTGTCCGGGGAGGAGCCATGGCTCCAGTGCTGCAGAGGGTCGTTTCCAAAGGTGCCCCCGTGTCTCCTTTCCAATCGATGGAGCCCGTTACGAGCCGTGCCTCCAAAAGGCAGACCCGGGGAGAGGAGACCCGCCGGGGAGGTGCCCCTTGGCTGAGCACAGGCTCCTTCAGAGCGGGATTACTCAGCAGAGGAGACCCTGTGGGTTATGGGGCGTCTGGCAGCGCAGAGCTGCCTCCGAGGCTGTGTCCTCCTTCACCTCTGTTTTCTTAAGGAGCTGCTTTTTTCCCTTTCCCAGCTGTTCTGCGTGATGTGCGGCATAGCAGGGCCCAAGCTGCGAGGCCAGTGAGTAGTTGTGCGGTTTGCTCCTGGCGACGCAGGAGGATTTCCTCTGCTTCTAGAGCTGGGCAGGTGAGAGCTCGCTGGGAAGCTCGCTTGCGGCAGCCGGCAGAGATGAGCCCTGACCTGGAGCTCCCCACCTCTCCTCTCCTGCGTGGGGCCACGGTCCCAGTTCTGACCAGTGGCACTTACTGACCAGGGAGCTCGGGCTGACCCTCAGCCGATGCTCAGGGCGACCCTCCTGGCAGAGCCGCGCTCTCCCCGTCCCGACGACTGTGGGACAGGTTTCATCTCCTAATTTCCGTGGGTGCGCACACAGCAAATACCTGTGAGGCTGCGAGTGGCACAAAGTGGCTGTGCTAACATGTGTTGTTTCTCTGCAGTGCTCTAAAGGCCACAGGGTATCTCCACTAGTATAAAATTACCTCAGTGGAAAATAGATGGGGTAGCCTTTTATTCACTCTGCGGTGAATATATTGGGCTGAAATCAACCGTTGGCATCTCTTAAGTTACACAGTGGTTTTGTTTTTAATGTTCATCACTGCATAGCTGATAACACAGTAATGAAAAGTGCAGTTAATTAATAGTGTATTTAAGAGTAATATTTTATTTCCTTTAAAATTTGCCTCTTTGTTTTCGTTCACATGAAGAGACGTTAAAGAAATTATTCCCATAATACAACACTTCCAGTCTTTTCCTTCAGTAATCTCTGGGTGTGTTTGTCCAGTGTTCCACGTGGATTTGTTCCTTGCTTGCAAAGGGTTCAGTCATTTCCTTAGGAGTACAAAAACATGTGGTGTTCTGTCTGACTTAAACAGATACCAAACAGAGAAGAAGAATTGCATTAACTCTCTAGTTGTTTTCCCTCTAAAAATCAGCTTAGAAGAAAAATCTAAATGCCTTGAGAAACTACTTTATTTAGATACTAAAGAGAAACCCTCCAGACTGGATTTCATTTGGCAGTTGCACTGGTAGCTCAGCGCCTTTGCATTCAGTGAGACGGAAGAGTTAGTTATTTAATCTTCCTGCAGCGTAACAGCTCTGCGCTCGGTCTTACAGCGTTATTTGGTCTTCTGCATCCAATTATCTTCACACCACGCGACGGCCTACAAGGGCATCTGACTCCTCCTTTTTTAAAAACAAGCAAACAAGCAAACAAACGAGTTTGCAGGCTCTATCTCTCTTTCTCTGACTTAATGTTTCAGTCTAAATAAAGCACATCCTTGGTGTAGTGGGTTTTTTCCTGGATATCTGCACGGACAGCCTGTTTAATTTCACAGCAATAAATGGTTAATGGTTCCTCTGTTAAACCCCTGCAGTTTCTGAACTGGTGCTGGCTGTCACCAGGGTCAGGAATGTGTTTAGCTGTGCCTGAAGCTGAGTGTGGTGTGACGGAGTGTCGGGGCTCTCGCCCAGGTGCCGTTTTTCCTGGGAGTGGGTTTTTGGACGCGTCCCTCCGAGAGCCCCAGGCTTTCTCCTGAGCCTGGAGGAGAGCGCATGCACAACGACGTGTCCCACAAATGCGGCAAAAGCTTCTTGCCCGTCAGTAACAGAAACTCACTGCCCTCGTGCCCAAGGTGATAGCCAAAAAGTTACTGTGCTGGCAGCAAGTATAAATATTTTCTTCTTCTTTTCTCTGATCGCAGCCGATGTTTTCCGTCGCACCGAGCTTAGCCACCAACGCGTCAGCCGCCTTCAACCCCTACTTGGGGCCCGTCTCCCCAGGCCTGGTCCCTGCGGAGATCCTGCCCACTGCCCCGATGCTGGTGACGGGGAACCCTGGCGTCCCGGTTCCTGCTGCCGCCGCCGCCGCTGCCCAGAAGCTGATGAGGACAGACAGGCTGGAGGTAGGAGCTGATATGTGCAACTTACTCTCACAAGTCGTGTCATTTACCATGTCTCACAGGTGTAAAGTATTTTTCCTGCGAAAGAAAATAATGCAGGTTTGGCTTCAGCTGACAGTGTCGTGTCTTGGTGACGGTAAGGACAAGGTGTGACCGAGTGATCATACCGTAAGTGAACGCTTGTGATTCTGCTCCTGACCCTTGCAGGAAGACATGGAAATACTGAGCCCTTTCAGCAATGACCGTGGCAGCAGCACGAATGTCTCAAAGCTGTGTTAGTGTGTGTTCATGTGGGGGCAGGTGTGAGGGCAGAGCTTCAGCTGCCCGCGTAAAGCGCAATGTTCAGCCTCTCCTTATTTTTGCTCTGGACAGATGGTGCCGGCGCTCCCATGCTGGCTTATCATCCTCATTACAAGTGTTCGTGCTCTCTAGCTGGTCCTCTCCCTTGCCCTGAATCTTTCTTATCTGAAAGGCCTGACAGTGTTTTCAACACCTTATCGGCACTGCAGCGGTGTGGGCGGTGAGCCAGCGACGTGCCGCTGGCTGCTGCTCGGCACCCCTGGCCAGCTCTGATGGGGAAAAGGCAGCGATGGAGGAGGCTGAGCAGGCGGGGTGATCCGCTGTCACCCCGTTTGCCTGCAAGAGGTCTGCTCTCCCAGTAGCACAGCAAATGCTCCCACAGTGTTTCCACAACGTCAGATCTTGGAGATCACGGTACCAGATCCGCTCTTGGATGTAGTCCCTGAACTCGGGGAGCACGGTGGGAGGAGAGCGAAGGATCTCTGTTCTAAAATGCAACCAGTTGTAATCGTAACACTTTTCTTTCTGCCTGTGCATCTGTGCTAACAGGGATTAATTCTCCTTACTTGGGAAGTTAATTAAGTCACATCTCTGACTGACAAGCTGCCACTCGAGACTGCGAGCAGGGAGGGGTGGGGAGGGTCATCTGGCAGCCGGCATCTCCCGCTGCCACTATTCTCAGAGCTCACATCACCACAGGTTCCCCTACAGCAGGTTCACATCATTTCCCTTTTTAGAGATGTTTTCTCTGAGGAGAGCGTTCCCCAAAGCGTGGTCAGGTTACAGGAGAGCTGCCGTGTGGTGGGCTGGTTGGAATCATTGAGGGATGTTTTTCGTTTGAGGACTCGATGTCGTGATGGATACCTGCCAGAGCTGAATTAAAACCAAAATGCAATTGCATAAATTCATAAATAAATCGTGCTAGATTCAGAAATGAGTGCCGAGAAGAGAATGTGGATGACAGGGAGCCCTCTGGGTCGCAGCGCTGAGGTCGGCTGCTCTGTTTGATTCTGCTTCCACTTGTGCAGGGGCCTCGATGCCGGTCACGGGGTTGGGGACACATGGGCTCAGCAGCTTTCTCCTCCTGAGCAAGAGCAGGACATAGCTGAGGTCCCCGAGCACCAGCTCTGCCCGTGGCCTGGGGCAGGGCTGCCGGCAGGCTACGACACGGGGCGCCAATGAAACCTGGCGCTCCAGCGTGCAGGATTTGGTCCTCTGCGCCTTTGCGTTCTCTTTACGTAGCTATTTAGAGGAGTGATACACTGCTGAGCCCAACTCCTCTGCACAAGAGGGAGTTGTGAGAATGTTACTCTCACAGAACACCCAGGGGCACAGTCTGCAGTAAACCCCATTTTTATCAATTAGGAAAAGCCTGCAAAACTGTCTGAAATCACTAAAATTGTCCTTGGGGGAGGGCAGTCCTTCCTAATGGGGCTGTTCCCCTGGCTTTGCTCTTGCCATGGCGCCATGCAGATCACTTGAAATACAGCTTCTTCTGCCCTTTAAGCTGTTTTGAGTTTTGATTTTTTATTTTGGCTGGGAGCACAACCAGGGTGACCCCCTGACTCTGCAGTTCCGTGCCGCACTGCTCCCTTACAGAATCAGTATCTGCTGGGGGCAGGAGTGTCTTTTGCTCCTCCTTTTTTCACTTTACTAGCAAATGCTGTTTATATAGTGAAGTGCGTAGGTGAGAAGATAATGTGCTAGTGCTTTCCAGTGTACCGGTCGTTTAATCTGGAGTGTGTGAATAGCAAATAAGCAGGTGATTTTTATGAGCTGCAGAACATTTTAATGTACCGTATGGTTTGCAGAAATGCAGAACTGATTTGAAAGGTTTTGCATAATCCTGTTGTTACCTCTCGGAGAAGCCACCTACTCTTGAAGCGAGCTGGTTGCCGTTGGCATTGTCATTTGTTCGGATGCAATTAGAGAGCTTTAGAAGGCTTTAGGTGTCTCTTCCTTGGAATGAACTGTCCTTGAGGAAAATAACCACTATGATGTTAGCATCTAATCTTGGGATGTGATTTGGTCTGCTTAGAATTTTAAGTACTTACTTTCAAGAATGATGTGCTCCGACACTGGACGTGCTCTGGGATGCTGAATGAGACTGTTCCACAGCTGAAGGCTCTCAACACAGGTACCTGGGATTTTCAGGAAAGCAGGTGGACAACACAAACCCGTGAGGCAGTGAACCTGGCCTCCCGAACTAACGGGAGTGTTCCTAAGAGCGGTGACTGTTCCCGGCAGTAGGATTCATTTCGTTTGGGCCGTGTCAGCTGTACGGACGGCATGCGGGTGTTTGGTGTCCAGTGAGTTCAGCCATCCCTGTAAGGAGTCTGGATCTCAGGGTGGAAGCTCATGGATTGTGACTTTTCCTGAAGCTTTCCTCATGCTCCTCTCCTGCCAGAAATATCTTGAACAAAAGCCTGGCTCTCCCAGTGAACCAGAAGAGAAGCAAGAGGGACAGGGAAGTGTGAGAGAAAGGAACCGCCTAACCGTTTGATTTGAAACGCATGTGTTTCCGTTTCAGTGCCATCATTTTCTGTTAGAAGCGTTCGAGAGTTGAGACTGACCATAACCAAGCTGCTGCCTTCTGCTTTTTCTCATGTGCATCATTTTTTTGGCCAGAAAGAAGCAGCTTAGAAGTTCCCGGAGGTTTTTGGCTCTTGGGTAATGTAACCTAGTGGTGCTGTTCGTTTAACCCTTGAGAAGGTCCTGAGTAATGACGTGCCCTTTTGGATAAATTCTCGTCAGGGTGGAGAAGGAGCCCGGCGGTGTGACTCACTCAGGGCAAGGCAGGGATCTCGGTTCTGCTGCCCGTGTCCTGCGAGCCCTGGGCTGAGCATCCCAGGAGCTCTCCCCCTCCAGGCTGGGCAGCTCGAATGCCCAAATAAAACCCAGCCCAATGCTATGATGAGTGAAATTAATTACAGTGAATCAGTAATATGGCAGCACCAGCTCAGCCTTTTTGCAGACAGAGTAGAGATGTACAGGTGCCTCTTCTCTTTACATTTCTTAACATACCGAGTTGAAAATTGTGATAGTAATTACAGGGCTGTTAATAAATAACGAAATAACAGCTCCCCAGATCTGAAAGGCCAGACAGCATATCGTACTTCTGTGCCTCTCTTTTCTCAAGCAGGTGAGTGATACATTGCTGCCTGCCCGTGGCAAAAAAAATATTGCCCTTTTTAGTGCTTGCTTTTAACTAAACAGGGGCTGGAAATATTCTTGGTTACCACCACAGTGGCTGAAAAGTCATTGCTGGTCACACTGATGAGAAGGACCAGCAGTGTCGTGGTTCGCCGTGAGCCGTTGTTCAGAGATGTGCTGGGGAGCGCGCAGGGGGAGCTGCCCATTGCCTTATCTCAGCTGCTGCAGGACGGCTTGGGGGAAATCTGCTCTGGACGTGCCAAAGATTATCCTTATCTCTCTGACTACTTCAGTTTTCTGGTCTTCCTTCTTTGTTTTTTAACTATGATAAAATTAGCTTATCTGGAGATGCATTCTCTCTCTCTCATTTTTAAGTGTATATATAAGAGTATATAGAGATAGATATATCCACATGGTCATATAAGAGCATATAGATATTCTTATATATATATACCCGCTTGTATATGAGTTGGTGTATATCTTCTTTGTGTTATTAATGGGCGGGCTTTTGCTTGCCTGGGAGTGGTTTCGAGACCTCAGTTTTGTGGGTCACCAGTACAAGGCAAAGTGCAAAGACAGACGACCGACAAGAGTTGCATCCTTTTCTTTATCTTCAGAGGAGAATAATTCAGTTTACTTCTAGACCACAAACAAATGACAGAGGGAAATTAGCCAGTTTTGTCTATTTGAGAGGCCTGTGTTTGGTAGAAGACACCGGTTCGTCCCTGTATCGTGCTGGTGTCAAGGTGGCCCTGTCACCGTGTGGGCACTGGACCGGGGGAGGGATCTGGCTGCAGAGTTCCCTGGAAGTCAAGGGGTTGTTTTCCAGCTGAGGAATTTGCCCAATCTTTCACACGTGCTGCAGAAACAGTTCTGGGGGTAACGAGAGCAATGGGGGTGCCTGAACTGGCGCGCTGAGCTCTGCTGCAAATACACACGCGGAGTCTTTGTCACAGTTTGAAGAAAGACAATAAATAGGTCATGCTGGAGTGACCCTGGACAGACAGGTGTTCCCCTGTGAAGGGGTTCACAAAGGACATTGCTCTTGTCCTTTAGGGTTGCCCTTTCCTGAGTCAGAGGCAATGGGCAGCACAGGGGTTAAAAGGCAGCGAGAGCGCTGCCATGGAGAGAACCAACCAACCACCGGGTTTGGTTTGTTGCAGGGATCAGAGCCAAGGTCCTGGAGGAAATACTGATGATCCAGGCTCATGGGCACCCACCTTTAAAAGGAAATTCCATCTGCTGAAGTAGTTTTATTTTTATACAGACTCGGTTGCTTTTGTCCCTTTCTGTTTCCTATAGCCTTTGGCAAACTGAAATGACAAACGCGAGTTTTTTGGTGCTTTTTGAAGAACTGACCAGGAAAGGGCACGCATCATTTTTTTTAAAACGAGGTTTGCAAGGTGTGCGTGCGAAGAGGGAGATGATGTCAGTCGCACTGTTGACTCTCTTCATCCTGCTGGGTTTTGATGCTCTTTGGCATCAGAAGTGGCTTCAGAGAAGCCACCACCGCTGGGCTCCTCCCAGGGCCAGGAGCTCGTCCTCACAGTGCTCTCGCAGACTTCCAGAAATCCCGACAGGGCTCTGAGCCGTGCCCACGGTGCCCGTTACCCAAACTAAGTGCCTTTCTTTTCCTGGTGTCGCAGGTTTGTCGAGAGTACCAGCGTGGCAACTGCAACCGGGGAGAGAACGACTGCCGGTTCGCCCACCCCGCCGACAGCGCCATGATCGACACCAACGACAACACCGTCACCGTCTGCATGGATTACATCAAAGGGAGATGCTCACGGGAAAAGTGCAAATATTTTCACCCTCCAGCACACCTGCAAGCCAAGATCAAGGCTGCCCAGTACCAGGTTAACCAAGCTGCAGCTGCCCACGGAGCGCCCGCAGCTGCCATGGTGAGTGTGGGAAGCCCCCGGAATAGGAGGCGAGGGGCAGTAACTGGGGTGTTAGTGGTTCTTGCTGGAGGGGTAGGGCAGCGTGTGAGCTCGGGGATCCCGGCGTGGTGTGATGAGCTTCCTCAGCATGTGGTGCCAGATCTGCTCTTAAGTAGTTCCAGACTGTGTTCAGGCGTTTCACTAATTCTGCCTGCTGGTGTACGGAGTGTCTCTATGTACATATATGTGTGCATACGCGTGTGCGTGTCTGTGCGTGGGCGTGCACATATGTAGGTACAGTTCGTTGTACGTTTGTGTGTGGGTAGACGTGTATCTATCTAGCCGCGCAGATAGATAAGCCCGTATCGCAGTTACTGTA